CAATCCCAAAAGGTTGGAGTTGACGGCCGATTGGGCAAACTGGACAAAGGACAGGACCGGATCCATTCACCTCGAACAAGCTTTGCCGAGCATGCACGGTTGACTGCTTATGAGTCAGGGTTTAGGCGTTCTAGCAGAATTCCCAGGGCAGGTTCATTCCAAGAGCCCGTTCAGCACCAGGGTGGCACTGTGCAATATTTTTAAGACGAGCAACACCTTCTCTTGAACTTATGTCTACATGTCGTTCCAGGGTAGGTATAACGCGACTACACTTAAAACCCCCCAACCTTTCTACTCTTTTCTACTCTAGATGAACTCTGAACTCTGAAAGCTCCCCAAAGACGGACATCCTGAAACCCCGGTCCTGGGCAATCACAAAGCCAGGCCCAAAGACGGAATCCACCCGCTTGCAGATCTTCCTGTGTTTGGGATGGGGGGTGGGGTTCCCCATCCCCCCCCCCCCCCCCCCCCCCCACCCCCCCCACCTCCCACCTCCCCTAAACCCTCAACCCCACCACAGTTACAGGAGAAACCTTTTGGGGAGCTCCTACCTTGACCCTCAAGCCCTAAAGGCTGCAGCCCCAAACCCCTCGAAACCCCGGTTCAATACAAAAAAACACGAGCAACCATGATACTATACTCAGCCTAAAGGTTGCTTGAAAGATGCTCCAGGATTGCCACCAGTCGCTCATCTCGCGGCGTGCTCTGCAGACGCTTCCTTGCCCAGATCTTTGTGGGCTCAGCATTGCTTAGGTCTTCATGCTTCTGCCCGAACCAACTTGCAGCCCAGGCTTTACATGGTATGGTTTATGCAGCCAAGTGTGTCTCGAACGAACCCAAAAGGACATGCTGAAGTCAAGCGGAGATTCATCAAGCTGAAGTACGTGAGCCGCCTCACAGCTGCGCGCCCGGGGCCCATTTCTACAACACATCGTGTTTTATTTGCCCCCTTCCCCAACCCCCCCACCGAAGAGGCTGACCATCTCAGGCCCTTGGAGAGCTGCTGAAGAATTCCTTGGGCTTCTTTCTTTTTTTTGTTCTTTAAATTTTTTTGGGGTTGCCATAACAGTGAATAGTTTCAGCGTAACAACGCCCTCAAGGAACAACGACCATGGGCATTTTGATCATGTAAGGGTACTGATACAGTGTTTGTCACAGTTAAGCTTCCCTTATAGGCAGCCCTCCCAAAAAAGAACTGCTCGCCGACCGTATGAAAACTGGGGGACGTCGCAAAGAAAATGCACCAACAAATGTGCTTGGAAGGCCTGGACAACCCTATATATCGCTAGCAGTAATATACAACCTGATGGAAATACTCAGAAAACCACGGATACAATCTTGTCAGGACGAGGAGTCCGCGCAACTCAACTGGCACGAACAACCTTGGATCCCTGTGTTGCACCGGTATGAATCTGACAGAGACCTCGCTTTGTCGCTTTGTGAAATCTTCGTGCGGTCCCTTTCCAGAGGGTTTAATACATTGCAACACTACCACTCCTAAATCCCGTCGTCCCTAACGGGCGAATTAGGTGTCATCCTCCTGAAAATAAAATCCACGTGTAATCTTCACAAGAAGCTCCATTTTAACAAATCGTTCGCTAGAAGCTGGCGGAGCCCAAAAAAAACTGGCAATACTAGTCCTATACTGAGTACTGCTATGACTACCACCCGATGTAGTTACAGCTCTTATGACAACGCTTACTATCTCGAGCCTTCGAAACCCGGAATTTTGTGAACGCTTAAGCCAACCAACAAAACCCTAAAACCCTAAAACCCTAAAACCCTAAAACCCTAAAACCCTAAAACCCTAAAACCCTAAAACCCTACAACCCTAAAACCCTAAAACCCTAAAACCCTAAAACCCTAAAACCCTAAAACCCTAAAACCCTAAAACCCTAAAAACCCTAAAACCCTAAAACCCTAAAACCCTAAAACCCGAAAACCCTAAAACCCTAAACCCTAAACCCGGCCTGGGCGGAGCCTGGGTTCCCGCAGCCTTGGCCTGGGCTTCTCGCTGCAGCCACTCCTTCCAAGAGACTCGTCGAGGTTTAGGGTTTAGGGTTTAGGGTTTAGGGTCTAGGGTCTAGGGTCTAGGGTCTAGGGTCTAGGGTCTAGGGTCAAGGGTTTAGGGTTTAGGGTTGAGGGTTTAGGGTTTAGGGTTTAGGGTTTAGGGTTTAGGGTTTAGGGTTTAGGGTTTAGGGTTTAGGGACCTTTCACAACACACAAACACACACATGGGTATTCCCAATAAGGGGCACCCTTAGTATACCCTCCCCAAAAACAGTCGAACCCTTATTCTAGGAGCCCCAAAAAGGGTACCCCTTCAGAAGCACACCATGATAAAACAAACAGAACTGGTAGCACTTCTGTTGTGTGCGACTACGAACTGCGCAAGCACCGGCAGCAACAGCAGGGTCAGGTAGCAGCCAAAGGGTTCGATAACATAGTCTGCCAGAGGGTTAGATAAACATAGTATGAACGTGCTAAAGATTGAGAGTTAAGTGCAAATTCCGCATGGTATCACCAGACTAATCCCTTCCACTAAGCTGCAACAACCTGGGTTCAGTCAGAAGTACAACACGAAGCATACTTCAACCGAATCAATCGTTGGGACCCTCAGTCTGCGAAGTACTGCAAGGATCCTTGTGAACAGGTTCTGTGGGGATGTTTACATCAACATATATCTCACCAATGTGCGCTTTTTAGGGTCTGTTCAGGAGGCTCAAGAAAACCACCCAACCCCCCAACCCCGGACCCTTAAACCCTGCAAGAAGGTTAGGATAGAAAGTGAAGTGAAGACCAAACCTTGACACTTCTAGGCAGGGGGCACACAGCAGACAGGGATCATCTGGGGACGGGAGGATCTTACTGCGTGGGAACGATCTTACTGCGTGGGAACTACTTGTAATCGAGACTGAAGACTCCAAGGTGGAGAGAAGGCAGGGTTTACGGTTTAGAATTGCTGAGAATAAGACCCCAAACCCTCAACCCTAAACCGCACTTGCAAGTTTAGGCCGATCCCAGGTGGAGCCTCGTGCCTTTGTCTTCCTGTGGCTGGCTTCCCCATACCACAGGTTCCTTATCGGAGAAAGAAGAAATCCTAAAACCCGGTATCAAATTAAGCCTACATCATCCCCAAAACTTTCTTCTACTCTAAACCCGAACTCTGAGCCTCAGAATTTTCCAAAAACCTCTGGTTGCCAATGAATTCCCCTTTCTCTCCTTTTCAGTAAGCTCTGCGAAGAGGTGCTTGAAGTGCCTTTGCTCAACACCAGGCAGAACGATAAAGAGCAGGTTCAGGCATTAGAGCTTCGCCATAAGAATGCGAGCAACTCGGGTAACTTTGAAGCAGCTCGTCATGCCCATAGCTAAGACTTACCTCTTGTCAGTCCACTAGTTCTCCGGTTAAGTACGACCTGCAACATGGTTTCTACGAACGGCCGCCGAAGACAAAGACTCCTACATTCCCTAAAGCCCGAAAGAGATTGCACCCTATCCACTCTCCATTCATACCGCTGCCTCCCCCCCGACCCCTCATAATCCGATCCGTTTGCTCAACATCTGCATCCGAGAGAATCCGCTCAAGAACGCGAGGATACTTGTCACAAGAGCTTTCCAACTTCACCATGGCTGGATAGAAAACAGTGAGAGCTCTGCTGATAGGTGCAAGAATCTAAATGGCGCCGCTCGACCTCTGCACCACAGTGTTTAGAGCTGTCACACTCCGTGTGAGTCCATCGCCTAAACTTGTGTTTGTAGAGCCAACATGAGCCAAACAATACGGAGGAAGGTTTATGGCAGCTCCGCGAAGAATGTAATCCTTTGATTCCTGTGTCGTACTGGCACCACTTATGCTGCTACTGGAATGAGACGCTGCGTGTTTAAGTTAAATGGCGACAAGTACGTTGAAAACTGGTGCTCCATAACCATCAAACATGATACTAAAGCTGCGCAAGCCATCGTACGTATCATGTGCTACGTTATCCACAGACTCCTCAGTCTTTTCGTAATGTGGACCAGAAGTCAGGCCAAGTAACTCGGGCATAGCAAAAATTCGGTACGAAGCTTTTTTGTGGATGCCATCGGAAGTAAAAGAAGCCAACGTAAGCCCATGGCCTGTAAGAATACCCCTATGACGCGCAGGCACGCATCTCGTGGGGGAGCTTGCCACGCACAACCCGGCCACCAAGCCGCCAAGGATATGGCAGCTGGTAAGAACCCCAGGTTTTGAAGGAGGGGCGAGATCCCAAGGGCAAGGAGGACGGTCAACAGTAGGCTGCGGGAATTCTTGATGACAAAGGATGCGATCAAAACGCAAGCTGCTCTGTGCGTCTGCCCTGTGAGCAAATCATCAAGCACAGAGAAGACGCAGCCCACTGCAAAGAAAAATCCGGCTCTGCGGCTAGCTGATCTAGGGGAAATACATCCTGACTCTTGGTGCGATGGGACACAAGGTCACAGAAGCAGACTTGCCTTGTTCGCACTTCCACCAAATGACAATGTCGCCGCGGCAATGTGGGGATATTATGAATTTTAGAATGAATGAGAGGGTGGTTTATTATAATGAAAAAAGAGGGTGAAGAACTACTTAAATGAAAATGGTTATGGAAAACGAAGAAGGCGACGATGATGATGATGCGGTAAAGGAGAGAATGAATGAAGGGGACAAAACAATGATAATGAAAGAGGTGAAGATGATGATGGTAACGAAGCAGGAGACGAGATTATGGAGTGAATGAGGGGGGGAATATGATATGATACTGTCCCCAGAACCCGCCCTGATACAAGCCCCAGCCTGAGCCCCAAACAGCCTTTTTACAATTCCCCCCCCCCCCCCATATCCTCCCTGGAAGACAAGGTGTCGGGGTCCACAGTTTCGGAGAAGTTGGCAAACGAGCTCGGGGGGGGGGGGGGGGGGCACAGTGCGAGAGAGGAGTCTCTCAGTAACACCATGCAGGGAGGCTGTCAGTCGCAACCTGGGCAATCACATCCCCCATAGTCAAAATTCGCCCACCCTCCCAGCCGTGTAAGCATTGTCTGTGAAAGTGCTTTCTTGTAGACAAAGCCGACGACACCTTGTTTTCACTTGCGAAAACTGGGGAGAGAGGGGACGAATGTGCAACCAAACCCAAAAACACTAAACTCCCAACCCAAACCCTAAACCCTCAACCTCAAGCCCTGAAGCCCTAAAACCCGAAACCTGAGACACTAAAACCCCAAAACCCCAAACCCTGAAACAATGAAGCCGTATGGGGGTTTTGGGTTGGCACACCTGTTTGGTTTTCGGGTCTGGGGCACTGTCGGGTGAGCCCCGGTACTGGGGTCCGCCGACTAGAAAGGGGATAAGAGTTGTGACATCCCTACAATTGCAGGGCTTTAAGGTCTTGAGGGTGCAATGTAGGGTTTGGGGTTTCGGGTTTAAAACTGACGGTTCGGGCTTAACTGTGAAGGACTTCTTGTCGGGCTACGGCGGCCAGCATGATGATTGCGTTCTAGCAGTAACAGACCTCCGAGTACGTCAAGAGACGTGAGCGGCTTTTTCGTCTTTGCAGCAGTGAGGCACACCTGCAAATCCTCATATGGCTAAACCATAGTACTGCAACAACATTCAAGATTCGTCAGCCTGTCCTCAACTCGCACAGGTGCAGGGCTCTCCTATGTCGCCTGCAGTTGCCGGAAGCCAAACGAAGACATCAACTATGTCGAGCGAGCCAAGCATCAGCGGGCTAGAAGACGGAAAATGCGGAACCCGGCTGACGCGCTGCGCGCAAGCTATGCCAAATCATTTTTGTGTGCAGGCTGGAACCGTGTAGCTCAACAGACCCTGGGTGGAACCCTCGCACGTTGTCAGGCCTGGTCAGTTGCAGCCCTGAAACACAATTTCGATCCGGGCGCAGGTCCTGGAGCTCGGATCTACGATGGGATCGTCTGGTACCAACCCCCGTAGACTTCCACAAGATACCCGATATACAATAACAATAAACAACAACCTCAAACTTAAGGGTCCAAAAATGACAAAGTAGTGGCGATAACTACAGCAAGTAATAATAATCAGAACAACAATAACGAGAGCAGCAGCTGTAACAGCAATAACAATATTTGAATAGGGACGGTACAAACATCCTCAAGGAACGACATAGTGGCCTAAACGGATTCTGAGGGAATAGTGCCTTGCAGCACATACAAACTGCTAGATACTCGGGCACAACAATTCCCGAAAAAAAATAGTAGTTCTCCCCCCAAACCGTCCATGTACATATACAGCAAATACTTGGGCCTCAAAGTTACTACTTATAGGGCCCAAATAAATATTATACAGCACGTGGGGCCCTGTAAGTAAGCCCAGAGTACTATATGGCTACTACTACATAGCCTGATGATGATTTCACGATGCCGAAAATGCTGCGCGGCTACATTTCCGGCCCTCTGCGGTTTCTAGATCCTTCTAAGGGTTTGGGGACCATTTAAGCTACAATAACACAATCCTTACCATTTGTGACATTTACGCCTGCCACCACACCTCAAAAGCTCAAGACGACGAGCTCTTTAGCAGCAGGGTTCTTTAGGAACCCTTAGATCATGGATCCTTCGAACCACCAGTCCTTGGATTCAGGTAGCCCGACAACTTCCAGAATCAAGGCACTGGGACGGCTTGAAGACCTGTCGGGTTTAGGGTTCATAGGGTTTAGGGTTTAGGGTTTAGGGTTTAGGGTTTAGGGTTTAGGGTTTAGGGTTTAGGGTTTAGGGTTTAGGGTTTAGGGTTTAGGGTTTAGGGTGTCATCTGGGTCCCAGTTTAGGGATTTCCGGCCTTGCGTGCGGCGAAGGCTGGTCAAGGCTACGGGGGTTTAAAAAGTGTACGAGGTGCAAGCTGTAGGGGGTTTAAGAAGTTTACGAGGTGCAAGCTGTAGGGCTTGAAGGGTTCTAGGGTTGTTGTAGGATTTCAGGTTTCATGGAACCGAAGTCGCCCCAATTACTCTGGCCTCGAGCACCGCGTGTGGAGTCCAGAGGTTGCAATTGGTGCGGGCGGGCGCTTCGAAGCCTGGGACAGAGAGGGGGAAGCAGTACGGCGAGAGCGCTCGGAGAGCCCGTAAGTCTGAAGAACTGAGGGTTGAAGTTTTAGGGTTTTGAGGCTGGGTTTGTGCGGTCCAGTGCGCAGCCTACTTTAGCCCTGCACGTTGTGCTCAAGACGCCTGTGGTAAGTGTTCCCTATTTCAAGGGGGTAGAGGTATGAAACAATCTAACACGAAGTCTCAGTTACTCACACGGACTCGGCTGTACAGAACACAGATCTTAAGACAAGGACTATGTCACCCGTCTTATCTACGAGACGTGTGGGAACTGACGGAAACAAAAAGATGAATAGTCGCCGCGCAATGACTGGTGTGCGTGCGGAGTCTATGCGCCGGGCTCAATCCATTGCAACTTAAAGGAATAGGCCCATAGCCATCAATACAACTGAGTACGCGCCCGGAGCTGAGAGTGTAAAGTTGATTGGACTTCCATGGTGCAATGACCATACCAGCCTGTGATAAAGAAGGACTCATCTCACATGGATTGTCACATCGCAGTTCGTTTACCTGGAATCCTTCGTTGAGCAAATGGTTAAGGGCTAATATCCCGTTCGGTATTGACGTCAGCGACGACGTCGCCCGTCTTATCTTGCCTCTGCTTCGTGCTGCGGCGAGGTCGGCTTCTCTTGCGACGTCGTGTTCTATCGGTAGAAGGCGACGACTTTAGTCTGTGTCGCGCGATTACGTTGATGTGAACTCCTCATCGATGGAGGGCGCCGAAAGCGATGCCCCGCATAAGTCTGGCTGTACCTGCGACGGCATAAGTAGCTCAGGAACATCTCGGACAGCCACGTGTGACTCGGGTTCGACGGGGCAACTCCAAGGGACTTATACCCATGGCTGGAAAATCATCGATGGGGCCTGGTAGTACTCCCTGGGCTGCACCAAGCTCATCAGCAAGGCAGTCTGGGCGGAAGCCTGTCTGTACGCAGGTTTCACCGCGGCTTCGCGGGTGAAGACGCGGCCTAGGCCGCGCTGCGCTTGCCGCACGGTCGGACCTCGGGATTATTTGTCCCGGTATGAAGGGTCACCTTAAGATTGTGTGCCCTGTAATCAAAGTTTCCTTCTTCCTGGAACATCCCCGAGTTTGTCCATGCGCTGGGTCCCCTAACTTGGGAATCAACGCGTCCCTCACGGCTTCTATGGTCCGCTGCGGCATGTGGTCCTAGAGGACTCTCCTGCCCCATGCAATATGTTCGCCCCGACACTTGAACGACAGCGATGGAAGCTGACGCCACACCCTGGATGGGGGCTGGACATCGTCATAGTCAGGATTAGCACGGAATTCCTCTTCATCCGGATTGTCTCCTTCTCGGCGGACCTCGCACGCTTGGCGCTATGACGGCACGCCGGCCTTGAGGGTTCACGGAACTCTTCCGGTCTAGGTCCAGGTCCACCCCGTGGAAAGTACGTACTGGAAGGGTGGTAAGAGAAAAGGGTGCTCTCCGATATAACCCGGACGGGGCGTACGGTTCGCCACTTGAGACCAAATCTGTTTCTTCACATAGAGGGGAACCGCGGCCGGATTCCACGACTGGAAGTTCTTAAGACAGGGAATATTTCTACAGGGTTTAGGGTTTCAGGGCGAAAGGGTTTGGGGTTTGGGGTTTAGGGTTTACGTTTAAGGGGTTTAGGGGGGTTTAGGCCATCTAAGGAGCTACAGGGAACAGGGAACTCCTGTTGGAAAAACCATGTCTGCTGTTATGTGGATGCTACTGCCATTGACCAGGCCCCTCCCACACCCCTTGCGGGTCTACTTCTTCTACCTTTAAAGCTGATTGAACATGTATGTGTCAAACGCTCCCTATATATGTACTTTACTATTCGGCAATCTGCGTGATTCACTGCTGGGACGGTTTCTATGGTGGCAACTCATCATATGCATTACACGTTGCCCATGCATCTACATTGACCCTGTGAGACAGCTCAAGCAGTACCTCCAGAGGAATGCAGCCTCGCAGCCGACCTCTCGTAAGAAGCCCTCCACCTGTTTCAATGAAGTTTAGGGCCTTTGGTAATTTAGGGAAGGCCTAGGATCCACGGTTTTGAGGGCTTTAGGGTTGACAGCAAGGTTCAAGGCGTTGGGCCAAAGAAGCCGAAGAAACCGAAGAAAATGCAAGCGCAGGAGGAGCATTTCAGGCAACGGGTCCTCGAAAACCTTTCCTTTTGGCTCAGACTTTTTGGGGCCCGAGGCTTTCAGCTTGTGCTTCGGGGGGAAAGGGACCCCACTTATCTGCTCATCACTTCTTCCTGAAGAGAAGGACACATTACACTCTCCAGAAACAAGCACAACAACCTGACTTCACACGTGACTTCTTCGAGGATGGCCGGGACTAGCATCAGCGATTGTAAGACAAAAAACCTGCAACCCAAACTCTTGCACAAAACCCTCAAGAAGCCCGTGCATAGCTAACGCAAGCTCGCACCAGAATAAGTCGGAAATGTTGGCCTAAACTACCAAAAAGCCCTTCCAATAATCACAGTAGTACTGACAATGGTGCAGGCAAACAGTAACAGTGATCAGACCTGGTCGCTTCAAGATAACGACGCTAACGATGGAGTGATATTGCCTGCCTGAGCCATGGACCAGATGTAGCCCCCCGAGGTCACGGGAACAGCCTCACGCTTGGAAGAGCTGCCAGTCCCTCGAAAGTCCAGCTTCTAGGAGCCTTGACTGCGTCTAAACCCGACACCGTTAACCTTGTAAACCCTAAGCCCCATAAACCCTAAAAGCCTAAACCCTGAAGTGTGTGTTCTTCCAGAATCCTTTTGGGCGCACTTCGTACAAGTACTCGAACTGGCAGAATCTTCACCCTGAGAAGTAGACCCAATAAGGTGCTGCAGGCATCTTCAGGCTATAGCCGCACGGCAAAGTTGTAGCCTCCGTTAAGAGGTTCACCCGCTCAGGGCCCCAGGAACCAGCTCATGATCGACCGGAACATTTTCCCATACGGCTTTGGAGCCCAGCAAAAGAGCATACTTTTCAGGTTTTGTTTTTCAGCTGTCTTCTGGTAATCAAAAAGACTAGATTCAAGAGCCTGTCTGTTTCACGAGAAGCCCAAAAACCTTCTGTAGTTCCCTAAATGGCAGACGTTCAGCACTTCGGGCGCGCGGGTGTGCCCTACCAAGGTTTAGGGCTTCGCGATTTTGATCGAGGCCCGTGTGAAGGGACTCTTCATCGGCTGCATGGGCTCATAGTCTTAGGGTTTAGGGTTTAGGGTTTGTCGCGGCAGTCAAAAAGGCAGCAGTCAAACATGCGACACGGGGCATGGTTAATCAAACCCTGCCGCCCCATGCGTAGTCGGAATATATGATCGTAACCGCATGAATCCAGTACCCAACTTAGCTTAACAGAAGTAATCCCTTGCCCCTAATACTAACCCCCCCCCCCCCCCCCCCCCCCCCCCCCGCCCCCGCAATTCTAAACTTCGCCTCATGAGTTAGGGGGGACCTAAACCCCAAGACCTTGAGCCCTAGATTTGGACAATCCTCTGAGCCTCAACCCCTCAACCCTAAGGCTCATCTCAAGGGCGGAGGCCCTCAACCCTCCTCTAATTCTCAAGCAGGTTTTGTATTGGGCTGTGTGGCGGGCGGGAACAATCATAGTTAAAATTAGGGCGGGGCTCAGTATAAAGGGGGAAGGGATTAACATAGTACACCGTCTTTCAAGTGCACCCTTCGGCAAATCGTGTTCTGCAACCTTGTAGGCCAGCTCTGAGGTGTCATTGCTCAGGCTTCAAAAATCTTACAGTCGAGACATCTCACTTTCCCCCCACCCTACCTTCTTGCAAAATGTCTCAGAGGAATGTAATATTCTAGGAGTATAATATAAGGATAAAAGTATACACAACTATAATCATATAGCAATATATACAAAGTAATGTAGCAGTATCTCCCACCTTCTTTTGTAAACAAGTCTTGTCTCAGCCCTACGGCCCTAGGCGTCAGACCGAAAGACACATCTGGGCATGTTACTGTTGCTGTTGTCGTTCCAGTTTCCCAGTGATGCTCTTCGCGGTTGTTTCTCGATTGCCGCTACTGCTCATGAATTGCCTACCCTTGATACTTTTCTGCTCTTCCCTGCTATTCCCGTGATCCTTTCCCATGGGTTCCAGAACCCTAAACCCGAAACCCTGAGCTATCCCCCAAGGGCACCTGGAAGTATACACTGTCCAGCCCGGCCCACTCGGGACCGTCCATATCGTCATTCGCAAAACTGTTGAAGACCTGGGTCTTTTGCAGGCTTTGACCGTCATGCAACAGCGTAGACCCTAAACCCTAAACCCTAAACCCTAAACCCTAAACCCGAAACCCGAAACCCTAAACCCTTCATGACAATGTAAACTACACGACGTTCGGAAGGCTTGGGGGTATCTTCGCTCCGGGAACCCAGTTGACATAAGGCGTGAATGAAGGAATCTCTCCAAAAAGAAGTTCTGAAAGATCCTGGTGCAGCTTCAGGTTTAGGGCTTAGGGTTCTACAGGGATTCCAGGGTTCTAGGGCACGCTCCAGGGTTTTAGGGTTCTAGGGTTTCAAGGGTTTAGGCCTCGTTTCCGAAACCCACATGAGCCAGAATTAACTCCAACACAATACAGCAACCCTTATCCCTACAACAGCGCAAAGAGTTCACAAACACGTGCGGGATGAATTTCACGAAATTTGGGCCCCTAAACCCTAAACCCTAAACCTTTGCCGCTAGGGCTTGCAAGGTTCAGGGTTCCAGGACCTGTTGTTCGATGTTGCGCCTGCTCTTGCAGAAGAGTTGCTTTGCAAATTGCTCCTTGTCTCTTTTAGCTTGCTTCCTTTTCTCTTGTGTGTGTCTGTTGTGTCCCTTTCTCTTCTTCGTATCCAATCATCCTTCATTACACCCTGCACACTAGACTCATCCCTGCGCCTTACAGGCAACCCCGGCGAGGGGCCACAAGGCCTCCACCGGGCGTGAGCGCGTCGAAGGCCTGGAAAGACTGGAACATGACATGTATCCCTGCGGCTGATACCTATTGCTAAGTAGAGCCCAAGAGCCTAGGCCACAAACCGCCAGAAAGCCTTGGCCTTAACAGGGGTATTTCGCAGAGTCCTTGTTACCTTTTGGCAATCCTGGGGCCATCGGGGCAGCACGAGCAGAAACCCACTTTAGGATCCCTGGCCCTGATACTTCAACTCCAAGAAGACTAGACCCTAAACCCTAAACCCTAAATCCTAAACCCTAAACCTCAGGACTTGGGGTCCTTTGGGGTCTATAAGGCCCACACTCCCATCAGTGTGCCTGAAAGGCGCAAGCTGCTGATTGTTGTTCCAACACCCAATCGCTATGTGAGGATGTGATAGGATGGTTTAGGATTTAGGGTTTAGGGTTTAGGGTTAGGGTTTAAGGGTTAGGGTTTAGGGCTTAGGGTTTAGGGTTTAGGGTTTAGGGTTTAGGGTTTAGGGTCTAGGGTTGAGGGTTTAGGGCTTTGAGGTGGGATCTCTAGTGAGCAGTTCCTGCGAAGCACTTTTCTGTATCTCAAAGCTATGGGCCCAGGGCCTGTCGAGATGCAACAAGCATGTGGAAACCTCCCTGTGTTAGGGTGGTGTGATTAGACTCTACCCTAAAGGAGTTTGATTTGGGGAGATGCGACCTCGGCTGTACACTTTACATACTAGACTGGGTAGAAATTCACACCCGTCTTATCTCCGAGTCACATCGACTCCTTCTTGACACGAATTAGGTAATTTGAGTCCCATACTCACATTTCGTGGTTGTAGAATCCTGTCTCTCTCTCCCACTTTTCGTGAGGTAGAAAGATAACCGTATGTCCGTAGCCTGCTGTTGACATCCTGTAGCCATTGTACCATTGAACCATCGGTGTCTTCATCTGTAGTTCCATTGCTTCATTCGAACTGAGCCGAATTTCGCTTCCCTTCGTGAAAGTGAAGGGGCACCTGATGGTGCCACACGTGATCTCGCCGACTGTGCGGGTCTGTCGCCTGAGAGATGGCTTCCCAAGAAGTATCTTCTACCTGGGAGTCAATAGCTTCTTTTAGAACACTGTGCAGTTCCACTAGCTCTATGCGGAAGTGTTCTTCCCCTGCACCCCTGAACTCATCAAGAGCAGGTACTATCGTTTCGATAGGGTAGGACTGCCCTGCCGAGCTAGCTATGGCTCGCAGAAGATCAAAGTCCAAAGCATTGGCATTCTGCACTATGGAAGCTGTGTCTTCACGAGCTTTTCGCTCTTCCTGCTCTGCGCCCAACCACACTTCTTGCATGTACGCATGTCGATTAATGCGTTCGAGCCTGTCCTGCTGAAGCTCTTGCAAGACGGAAAGGATTTCTCTCGGGCATTCCCGGAGTCATCGACTGTGTCGAGACTTGAAATGTCCACTCCTGGCAGGCGGCTGTGGAGGCGGGGTTTCGCTAAAAGGAATATCTTGCGATTGTCGCCTTCGACTATGTAACCCTCGGTAACACAATCAAGGAAATCTGCAAGTCCTCTGCTTGGTCCCTTCTGCTCTCTGCCCCAAAGATAACAGCGCAAACGCGAAGACTGTAGAAGCACCTACTGGGGACGCATCAGACATAAGGGCTTGATTGCTCCGACTTTTTTCGGGAAGTTCTGAGCGCTGTGGCCCTTGGGGCTGTAGTTGCAATAGGTCCAATCTGCTGCTGAACATAGGCTGGCAATCCTGTAGGCAACGGTTCATCACCTGTTAAGTGGAAAGATTCGACGTCTTCGTCGTGAGCAGCTGGTGTTCCTGGTCCGGGCGGTGCAGGATTGGAAGGAGGTGTGGGTTGTTCACAGGTTCTGAAACGACATTCTTTAACTCCTGCCCAGTAACCAATTGCACCACACCGAAGACACCTTGAGTTCGCTTTGAGCTCTTGCAGCTTAGCCTTTCTATCTGCTATGGATAGGTTCGACTGCGCGAGTTTGCCCTTACCGAAGCCTTTGCCCTTCCCTTTGCCTTTGCCTTTGCCCTTACCCTTACCTTTACCCTTTTGGTAGGTGGTGAAGAGGGCTGTTTGGGCTGCATAGGCTAGCTGTGTGGCTTCTGCGCGCTCCTCGCCTAGGTCTTCGAGACCTACGTGCACTTGCAATGAAAAGTAAGCATTCAGGGCTTCGACCAACTCGGGGTCTATGTCCTGGTTCGCTGGCATAATAACTGTTCCAACCATCGGACTCACTCCACCAAGTCTCTTCCTGCGGATATCCATCATAGTCATGTTCAGACGAATGATAACCGTACCTCGATTTCGTGAGTGGTGAAACACTGGCGTATGGGTGTCGAGGCTGTGAGGAATTCTACCATGGCTACCTTTTACCCTGAGAAGGCAAGGGTCTCGTCGAGTTCGAATGTTCTTCTCGAAGCCTTTCGCTGAGAGCGACCACACAATGGTGTCGTGTGAGAACACGAGCATATTCATCAACAGTCTCTTCCTTAGCAGCTGTTTGAACCATCAACTGTTCAGATTTCGATAGACCTGGCAACTCGACCAATAGATTGGCTCTCATGGGTTCAGAGATAGTGAGGCTGGGGTCAAGCTCTCTCAATGTAATCCACCATCCTGCGGCCAATGTACATAGGAGATCATGGTCTCGTCATTTTGACGGGATAGTGGTCCACCTTGCTGTTGATCAACTCGAAACAACTCTGAGGCTCTCGCTTTGTAGCGGAAAAACATGCTTCTGAATGACTTCAATCGTTCTAAGCCTATGTCACGAGCGATCTGGAACGCATCAGCTCGTAATCCTGCAAGGATTCGTGCAGCGCATTCGCTCACGTCAATCTGTGCCTCGTCTATCGTTGGCATGGGGTCTTCCCCTGTGACGCTGCTAGATTCCTCTTCTTCAGGACTGCGAACAGGTGTTCCCGCAGCACCTCTAGGCTGGGCAGGGATTTCAGCAGTGTCTGCCTGGGCCTGAGCACTCTGTCCACCTTGGTGGGTCCTTGGCCTCTCTGGAGTTTCCGGGACACTGTCTGAGGATCGGGAACCATTCGGTCCGTTCCTGCCTCTGCCAGTCGGCATACGAGCAAGAAGAAGATCCTTAGTCAACTCTCGCCTCATGCGTTCACGGTGTTGTAGCACACGAGCCTGGGCTCTAAACTTCCAGTCGTGGAATCCGGAAGCTGTGCCGGAGTATATGTAACTGCCCGACTTGGTTTCAAGCGGGACCTGCAACCGACGGGATGGGTGAGACTACTGCTCGTATACCGCCGACCGCTGCTCTATGAGCAGGGTTGGGCTCCGCTACCAGTTTGGGGTGGGATCTCTAATGAGCAGTTCCTGCGAAGCACTTTTCTGGATCTATGGGCCCAAGGGCTGTCGAGATGTAACAAGCATGTGAAAACCTCCCTATATTAGGGGTTGTGTGTTTGGGCTCTACTCTCAAGGAGTTTGATTTGGGGAGATGTGACCTCGGCTGTGCACTTTACATACTAGACTGGGAAGAAATTCACAAGGGTTTAGGGTTGAGGGCTGAAGGTTGAGGATGGTGTGATACCTGCCGTTGCTCTTGCTGCCCGCCGCATCGTTGGCATGACCCATCGGCACCCTTGTTCCAAAAAACAGCCATCAGACCGGCAGTTTGGTCTCAATCTCTGTGCAGGGGGCTACTTTCCAAATGTCACATCTCGTGTAAGGACCCCTAGAACAACAACAGCAAAGTCTTCAACACCCACAGTGTTCTTATCTGATACTTGTGGAAGTCCTCTGAAAACAAGATACAGTATACAATCCCCGGGAAGATCTTTCAACAAGTCTTTTTGGCGCAAACAAACCATTCAAAAGCCTCAAAAGGAGCTGAACCCTCTGAAAGAAGGCAACACGGGCATCATTACGCATGGTTCCTCCTTGTGTGCGTGGGGGGGGGGGGGGGGGGGGGGGGGGGGGGGAGAAATACTGCTGGATGAGAGCGTGGTTTATGCGGACTTGGGACGGGGCCTTCTTGAAGATCTGCAGGAGCACTTTCTTGGACCAAATCACGACCTGGCGACAAACAAGAATCTTTCAAGCATTTGTCTCCGATGCCATCTCTGGGTATGATAAGGTGAACACCTCGGTACTGCCAACACCTGTATTGGAAACTCCTCAAGGACCGGATAACCCCACACGACCATTTTCTGGATCTCTTTGAAGATCTCTTGCAGTCTTTCTCACATCTTAGGCTGATAGATTTTGGGAGGACAGGTTGCAAGCGCTGCTAGATGTTTTGGGTGAAGGGTGCTTGTTAAAGTTGACGAACTGTGCAGGGCAACCGCATGTCCTTCCAGGGATGAGCATGAAACCAAAAACGACTTCAAGGAATAGGGTTTTAAGGGAGGGATGCATCTGGTGGGGATTCTAGGGTCTTGTGCACATATAGGCCACCATATTCATGATAGATACCCACATCAGAATCGATGTAACATCCTCACATCATCTGTAGAAGCCGTATATGAGCCTGGACTAAAGTCATAAATCTTGTCCCCAATAAATGCCTTATGGCCCCATGTCCCTGCCCCCCCGCCCCAATCCCATGCCTGTTCAACGCGAACCCCCCAAGGCCCTAGCCCCCAACAACCTAGAACCCCAAAAATATTACTTTCGACTAGGTGTCCCTGTCCGCTGTCTGCCTGGTGCGAGAACAGCACAGCGTCATACCCTTGCCTCATTTGATCAAGTTCGGAAGGTTTATCGGGGAACATGCTGCTCATGACCCATGTAGGGTTCTTCTTTGTGGTTTCGGAATCCGGTACTGCGTTTTCCCCATTTGGCGACGCCCACCGAGGTATCTAGTCAAGCTGGTCTACTCCAAAGCAGTCAGTGGGGGTGGGGGGGGGGGGGGGCACTGACCCTTCGTTTCTCACTTTTTGGCACATCTCATCATGTTCATATTGTTCTTGAGGCATGTGGGGCCCAGGAAGGCGAGCACTATGAGCATCAGCTGGGGTCCCGGGTCTTGCAGCCTTCTGGGTGCCCAATACTGTGGATTGTCTATGCTTTACACTTGTGTGTTGGGCGAATTCCCACCAATGGCTCGTGATGCCCGCTCTGGGACGGGAAAGATGTCCCAAAGCACCAGAATTCAAGAGAAATGCAATCGCGAGGCCCCAGCCCTAAGCCCTTGAGTTGAAACTCGAACAAAAATTAGGGTTTAGGGTTTAGGGTTTAGGGTTTAGGGTTTAGGGTTTAGGGTTTAGGGTTTAGGGTTTAGGGTTTAGGGAGACCCGCTGGGTGCGGCTTTTGAATAGAACCAAAGAGTTTCCGCTGTTGGGGGGCCCAGGAGGAAGAGGGTTCCATCCCGCCTCAAAAGAAGGTCCTTGAGAATCCACAGCAGGCTACGTAGAACACCGTAGTATACTACAGTATGCTCTAGTATATTACAGAAACCTATATAGTATACTACATTTATACACATGATAACGTCTATACTGCACAGGAGAGGTTCAGATCGAGGGTGCCGTGTGAGCTGAAAAACGGCGAACATGCGATGTTGCTAAATTATACCATGCTATAGTTCCACGATATTAAGCTATGGTATTCTAAAAGTATTCTAGAGTATTCCATAATTTACTTTAGTATGCTACACTGAGTAGACTACAATAGTACTGTCAAAAACCAGGAATAGGAAGACTTAAATGACTCAAACAGCATTGCTATGCATAATTATAGACAGAGGGGGTGATGTTAGCGAGCTTTGCGGCGTCTTTTTCTGGCAGTGGGAAAGAAGCATGAGGGAACAGCATCTGTCCATCTGTCATCGGTGCTCCGGCATTTTTGTGCTTCTGGTTGCTCTTCTTATCCAAAGCAAGCCAACATCGGTAAGTAGCCGAGAAACTATGATGACATAACAAGCATATTACATTGCCTAAGTCGTGTCATGTAGGCAAAGTGGCGACAATCACCAAAGCGATACAAACATGACTCAGGTCAGGGCCCATCAAGAAGGAATCCTTCTAGCTAGCTTCATCTTGTGACGAGGAAGCCTTTCAAGCTTGCAATATCTGTGTAGTACTGTGTAGGAGGTGATCATGGGCGTTTCAGCACTACTTTACCGCTTACCGCATCCCGAACCGAACCGAACCGTACCATATCCCAAGCTCCGCACCGCACCGAACCGCCTCCAAAGCCACCCAGCCTGCCCCCCCCCCCCCCCCCCCGGCATCCACTCCAACTAGAACCCCTCCAGTCCCCTCCATCCAGCCCCCTACCCTCCTCCCCCTCCATGCCACCATCCATCCAAGACCCCCCCCTTCATCCATCCAGCCCCCCTTCATCCACCCCTCCATCTCCAGCCCTCCACCCCTCCCTCTCCATCCACCCAGCCCCTCCCTATACTATGACTGATAGTAGACACACAAGGACCATTCAAGGGCTGCGCATATGCGTTGCACCTTGGAGCAGATGGCAAGCTGCCTCAAAGCTAGCCCTAAAACCTCTGTTTGTCGTATGATGAAAAAAGGTGTGCGCCACAACTATTGGCCCAACAAAAGCTTAGCCACGCTAATGTCGGCAAGCAGCCACAGCCCTAGATTGTTCTGACGTGCTCCTACCCTGTCACTAACGCACATCCGAGGAAATCTCCAGAACCCTCTAGTAAAGTCCTTGGAAAAAATCCCAAACTACTTCCTACAAAGAAACCCTCACAAAAGTGCTTAAGATCCCGTCCCTCAGGGTCAGAGTACATTACTGTAGCATACTTACCCCCAAAACCCTCATCACGTTTAAAAAATAGAAGCCCTGAATACCTTATAGAGAAGTGCATTGAGAGTGTACAAAGCCCTAAAACCCGAAAACCCTAAAAACCCAAAGACCCAAAACAAAAACCCAAAACCCCAAAACACCTAAACCCTAAGCTTGCTGGTGGAATGGCGGGAAGTCGGACACCAGGAAGGATCCGGCGCGGAGGTCGATGCGGTCTGACAGGCCCGCCTCTGCAAGAAGCCTACAAAAAAAGTAGCTACACTCTACTACAGGGGTCGGAAGAATTACAAATAGTATTCCCTTATGGTCCCTTGGTAATTGCCTTCTCAGGCCGGGCTCCCTGAAAAAACCCCTTAAAAAGGGTTGATTATGGGGCTTCTAAGGCCCCATAGCCCATCCTGGCATCCTGTACTGAACTCGAGTACTATAGCATATTCATTGCTACTCTACTACAGCTTCTTCTCCCAAATACACAAGATGAACCGCGGCGTGCGCTTGGAATGTCTCGGTTTCATAGGACAATATTCTAAACCTCCAACCAGGAGGAGTCTCTCTGCCGCATCTCTGGGAGCCTTGGACGAGAATATCCCCCAGTAGCGGATAGAAAGGATTACTTACACATGTGCACACTGCCCAGTTGTGTGCCATATCAGAACTTGAATTATTGGGGTCCAGCTGGCTAAGATTTCCAGCTGCAGCATGACAGTTCGATGATGCTTCCGCCGTCTGGCATAATGCGACGAATACCTACTGACAAAATGCTACAGCAGGACAACGATTAGCAACCAGACACGGCAAAACTTCGACGCGTTGCGTCTGGAACTGATATTATCGGGTCCAGGTTTTCTTCTCGTATGTTTTTGGTTTCTTTTTTTTGTGTTTTTCTTGGTTTAGGGTTAGGGTTTAGGGTTTAGGGTTGAGGGTTGAGGGTTGAGGGTTGAGGGTTGAGGGTTGAGGGTTGAGGGTTTAGGGTGTAGGGTTTAGTTTTGTTTTTTTTTGGGTTTAGGGTTTGGGTCAGCAAAAACCAAAAAAACACGAACAATGAACACAAAAACACACGAAAAAAGAACCATCAGCCTTGAGACACATGGAGGGAGGGTTTACGAAAACCAGGGAGCCCTAAAAAAAGACTCCCAGATCCCAAAGACTAGAGTGCCTGTTTAGTAAAGACCTCAAATTTGTGTACCCCGAATTTAACAGAAACCCATACATTCCCTACATGTTACGGGCAAAAGGCAAGATCGGGGAATTCCATCATTAACCCTAAACTCCATAATGCCAAGCATCCCAATTAGCCCTATCAGCCCAAAAGGGGTAGTGAGAAGTGCAGGGCTTATTTTGGGCTCATCATTGAAATGAAAATCTGGGATGATTGGTCTAGGGTTCAGGGTGTAGAGTTATATCCGGACGAAAGGCTCCTCTAGGACAATCAGACTTGAGTCTTCCAGGTAAGGTTGTCCGCCTCCCACGCAGTACTATGTGAGTAGGAAGAAGATACAATCCTACTGTTGAGTGGGGACCTGGTATCTGCAGATCCTAGACCCTAAGCCCTAAACTTTACAAAGACTTGTATAGCCTGCACCTAAAACGTACTCCTTCCGCTGGCCTTTGCAATCAGATTGCGCGGAATGTCGACGGTCTCCTGAGGTCTGAGGCGCGGGTTTTAGGGTAGAGGCTAGGATGTGGGGCCCCATGTCTTGCTTAGGATTTGCGGTCTAACCACAGCGCGCGGTTCCATATAGTATTCCATAGCCTCCTACCCCTAACATCGCGGCATGCCGTGATTTCATTCTGAAGCCTTGGAGTTTGCAGCTCCCTGCCATGATCCCATGACATAGCAGTCAGCAACAGCCGCACAAGACTACTGGCAACCCTCAAGGGTGGACATACCAAGCCAACTAAAACCAACTAAGAATACGTGCGCTATACTGTGCCATACCATACTATACCATACTATACCATACTCTCCATACTATACCATACTGTACCATACTGTACCATACTATACCATACTGTACCATACTGTACCATACTGTATGTGTACCATACTTTCCTATCCAATACTATACTATGCTAAGCTATACTATACGATGCTATACGTGTGAGGTCAGAGAGAGGATCGAACTCACACTGTGACACTGGCAGCTACCTCTGCTAGCACAGCGCCGAAAAACGAAGCGCACTGGCCCCCCTTTTTAAAGGAGACTACAAAACCTCTTGCGCCCCCAGGGATGCGGTGTGATACATGGTTTAGGGTGTAGGGTTTAGGGTATCAGAGTGCATCGGTTTAGGGTTTATGGCTTCGGCTTTCTTTATTACAGTGCGACTCAGGCGCACCTTGGAACCCTGCACACTACACAAAGACTTGCTTTCAAGGGTGCCTTGCTATACTTCAGGTCTGCAATACCATACTAGACATACTATACTGTACTATACTAGATATACTATACGATACTATATATACTACTATACTGTACTATAGTTTATTCTACTTTATGCAAAGAGTTCCAACATGTCCCCTTGCCGGGGAAGTCCAAGAGTCGTGCTGGTCCTGGCCGAGAGGAGGGAGCTTCTCGTCAGCTTTGGTTCTTCGCATGTCTGAAGGCGGCTTGTTTCGGGGGGGCAAGGTAAGGGTTTAGGGTTTCGGGTTTAGGATACTTTACTACCACAAAGTTCAGGGGATATACAGGTTTTGAGGGCGTTTCGGATATATCAATTAATGCCTCAAAGTTTAGGGCTTGGGGTTTAGGGTAAAGGGTCTACAGAACTTGCAGGGCTGGTAGAGGTCATGCGATGTCTCAACAAAAAGGGTCATCATAGTCAGGGATCTCTCATCATCCGCAATGATATGAGGGGACCCTGCCTACATGCAACAATGACGGGGGGGTTAAGATGGTTTACACCGCTGCACACTTTTTGGGCGTTGTTTGAAAACAGTACACTCTCTGGAGAGACGCTAACCATTAACGCCGAGACTTCTAGTGCCTAAACCCCTGAATCTTGCCGGGTTTGGGACTGCATAGTACAAATAGCCAATAACAACACTACCAGTTCTTGGTAACAACAACAAACTGGTTGAACTGGGGCTTTGGAGCTTGTATTTCTGCTGACAGCCAACTGTATTTCACGCCTAGCTCGGATGTCCAGGTAGCAAGGGGCTAGGCAAATGGCGATGATGCTTGTGATATCTACCATGAGCCTCACTGTGCTCACTGTCCGGCCTCGCTTCTTTTTCCCCAAAGTCGCCCAAGGTGACCTACCTGCCTGGGATCCCCTGCGACCCAGTGGCACTCCGGCAGGCCTATACGTTTCTATACGTTTATACAAGCAAGGTTTCGGGTTCGCAGGTCGGCTGCTCTGCGGCGTTATTCTCCTCAACAGGCGGTCGTTTTTTTCCCACCGACCGTGTGGACAGGTTACTTCGAAGTGCGCCGATTGGGCCGTCGACATCGCGTCCCGTGGCTTGGGCAGGCCGTTGTTTCGGGGCTAGTTCGGGCGGGGGCCTGGAGAGCCCGAAAAGGAGAACGTGTCCCAAGAATTCGCACGCCAGCAGCAGAGCCCCAAGGGGTGTTTTCGGCTGCTGGAAAGACGGGGGGCGCCGATTTCGGCTGGTTTCGTCTACCTACTTTGCCATACTGCCACCTGCTAGCAGTACATAAGCTGGCAATGACAACTTGAAAAATGCTGTGCTGACCGAAGCCCAGCCCCCTAAGCCCTTGTGGAGGGCGAGTCCCATGGCTGTGGAGCTCAGGATGTAGCTTTAG